GAGTGTGAGTGTGAGTGTGTGTGTGAGTGTGTGTGTGTGTGTGCGAGTGTGTGTGCGAGTTGACTATCGAAAAGTCAATGCTATTACTGAAAGTGATGCTTGTCCACTACCAAACATCACAGAAATTCTTGAGTCCCTCTCTGGTGCAACAATATTTTCAACTTTGGATCTCAATAGTGGGTATTGGCAAGTCCCGATGGAACTGGCAAGCAAACAGAAGACCGCTTTCATCACGTCAGGTGGGCTCTTGAGAATTGGCAACCCTATCTGGAACATCGACTGTTCACCGTCATCACAGATCATTCTTCTCTGCAGTGGGTAATCAATTCCAACAAAACGACCAGTAGGCTCATTCGATGGGCACTTCGACTACAAAGATTTGATTTTTTTGGAATATCGGAAGGGAATGTTGAATGTTGCCCCTGATGCTCTTTCTCGAGTACATTACTTACCTGAGTGTAATATGTACACTAGTAAGAAAGAGGATTCAGAGTTCCCAATTTCTCCTGAAACTATCTGGAGTGAACAACATAGTGATTCTGAAATCACTAAGATTTTTCAGCTTCTGGCAGAGCACCAAACACCTGAAAATGAACCGTACTCCGTGTTTGAAGACAAATTATATCACATCACTCACCTGTCAGAGGGTAAGTTCCGGTACCGGGTAGTTATTCCTCAGAGTCTGGTATCTACCCTCCTTCAATATTACCATTCCAATCCACTGAGTGGTCATCTTGGTGTCTTCAAAACCTACAAGAGAGTGCAAGATGTTGCATATTGGCCAGGTATGTGGACTGACGTAAAAAGATATGTCAAGAACTGCATCAAATGTCAAACTCTTAAGAGTGACAATAGGAAGCCTGCCGGTAAAATACAACCCATCATCACTTCACGACCGAGTGAGATGCTTGGAGTAGATATCATGGGGCCATTACCCAAAAGTTCCAAACAACATAAATACCTGCTCGTCTTTGTAGACTACTTTACCCGATGGGTAGAGCTGTTTCCCCTGAGACGTGACACGGCATCAGCCATTGCTGAAATCCTGAGGAAAGAAATACTTTGTCAGACCGAGGAACACAATTCATCTCATCCATCTTCACTGAACTGTGTAGCCAATGGAGTATGACCCCTAAACTAACCACAGCTTACCATCCCCAGACCAACATGACAGAAAGAGTAAACAGAACTTTGAAGTCAATGGTATCTGCATATGTGGAAGACAATCATAGGAGTTGGGATCACTACTTACCAGAACTGCGTTTTGCGATCAATACTGCAGTTCAGGAATCCATTGGTATGGCACCTGCTGAGCTTCATCTGGGCAGAAAAATCCACAGCCCATTAGATAAAATGTTGCATGGATGCAATCTTGCCCCCTCTGGTCCTTCATATGACGTTGTGTACCAGTTGTCAGAACTTCAAAGGAAGGCCAAGGAGAACTGCAAGAAAGCACAGACCAGACAGTTAAGAAATTACAACAAAAACAGACGAGACGTATTTCTTCATGAGAAAGATCGAGTCTGGGTCCGCAATTTTCCACAGTCAAATGCTCAACACCATTTCAGTGCCAAGTTAGCCCCAAAGTGGAAGGGTCCGTATCGTATTATCCAACAGTTGGGTCCAGTAAACTATAGAGTTGCCCTAGAGTCCACAGGAGAGGATGTACGTACTGTACATGTATGTAATTTGAAACCTTGTTTCCCTACTGCGGAGGAATTAGAATCTCGCAACCGGGAAAAACTACAGGAGATCTTCCAGGACACCTCTGATGAGGAGGAAGAATTCTTGGGGTTTTAATATACCACAAAACGTTTAACAACGGAGTTGTTTTTCATGGAGGGGGGAGTGTGGCGGAACGGAAACCAGTCGCCACGTGATTTGATTTTGTTGT